ATATATATATATATATATATATATATATATATGTATATGTATATATACACACACACACACACACATATGTGGGTGTGGGTGTGTGTATATTTTTTTTTTCAAAACAGGAAACCAATATATCAAGTGGTGACTACACGTATGGTACGGAATATGTATTCTAAAACTATAAGAAATGCCACCACATATTGAAATGGTATAGGTTAAGCATATAGTCACTGGGACAAGTGACAGACTGCTAGTTGAGAATTCAGTAATCCTTTCCTAGTTTGTGACATGATTGGCTGCTTTTCTTCTGCTTGCCAATGTGACAAAGCAAACTGCTTTAGTTTTTGATGAGCGTTCTTAGAGGGTTGTTGGTATTCCTTCATTCACAGCACCCATTGTTGAACTAATCATTTTCAGTTGTGATGCCTTAATTAAGATGCCGTTGTTAGCCTGAAATGCAATCTTGGTAGCCAGTTCCATTGTACTAGAGATTATTCAGAAAAAGTTAGCTGTCGGGCTTTCGAAAGGGTTTTTCTACTCCTTTCATTTCTACTTGGGAACATTTTAGAGCAGATTAGTCTTTCAATATGAAAACAAGTGGCTACCTGATGGAAACTTTTTCTTGCCCTTATAGGGAAACTGAGCACAAGTTGAATGATATTGTCTGCTGCAAAAAAAAAAAAAAAAAAAGGTAAATAAAACAAGCAAACTGAAGAGAGACAAAATAGACCAATATTGTGAACTCCATCTTATCCATCATCTCATCAGTTCAGCAGGCTTCTGTCCTGAGTGAGCTTATGGTTAGAAGTTGTTTTGTTTTGTTTTTTAAGAAAAGATTTATTACATACACACATGTGTGTGTGTATGTGTGTCTACTAACACATACATACATACATACATACATGTGTGTGTGTTTATGTATTTAAAGGTGCTAATCAATCTTGAGCAGGTCATGTGACTGGTCATGCGGACTCTAAAATCATATCAGATTTTTTAAAATCCTTGATATATGCAGATGTTATACAGATTTTTCTTACCAGTGTAATAATGTTATACTGAAGAAATAACCATCCTGCAGGCATCAAAGGACGAGGTCAGCAATATTTCCCACCATGGCTTGGGGGAAAAGGACAGTTTTGTCTCCTTTTTTATTCAAATTAATGCACAGTGCATTTTTGTTTCTAAGTAGTTGTGGACTAAAAGACTTTGTAGCGTAAAGGGTGTTATACAAACTGTCATGGTGTGCTTCAAAAAATGCTAGACCCTTTCACCTTTGTCCTATATTGCAAAGCTGTTAAATATGTGGTTTGAGTTAACTTGGAACATGTTGAAATATGTAGCATGCGTTTTTAACTCAGAAGAAGATTCTAATTGCACAGGTTGTGTTCTAGCCAGTTGTGGTTTATTTGTTCAGAAACACAAATGTGAATTGCACTCTCATCACCAGAATATTGTAAGTTCAGTGATCTTTAAACAGCTCAGAAGTAATACTTGAACCTCATTTGAGTAGCACCAAGTTTACACAGCCCCTTTTAAATGTTGATTAGTTCCATTTAAGTTTTCCATTTTCAAATGCAACTGTGTATTTTTTCCTCTTGGAAAACAGTACGTATTTTACTTTGGTATGTAGCAAAAGGCTTCCATTTCTGGAAGGGTTTTCTTGTTCTTAAACAAGGTCAGCCAGGTACCGGATTCTAAAGAACAATTGTTTTCCCCTTTTCCTTCAAGTGGCCTTCTGACTGCGAGAGAATGTGCTACTGCCCTCTCCAAAGTCCCCTGCCCCGGGAGGTCAGTGTAGCAGGTGGAGGAAGTGCAAGGCTCGCTCTCTTTCCCTCACCTCACCTAAAGCAGTTCCAGGATTCTCAGTCCAGTGCACACAGTCCCAACGCCCAGCACACCAGAAGTTTGTATACTGGCCTTTCTTCTTTTCTTCAGATGTGCAGGAAACTTGAAACTGTCACCCGGAATAGGTTCCATCTCTTATGTGTTGTGTTCGATCAAACCAAAGAAGCCCCCCAGCTGTGCCCAAATGCTGCTCCAAAAGCCTGCCTTGCAGTCCTTACAAAAACCTTGCAGGATTAAATGTGTTAACTTTTTTATTTTTGTACAGTTTCTAAGTGATTTTTGCTAGTGATGTTAAATTGAATTAAGCTTATTTAAGGGGTGTAAGCACCTCCTCCATTTAAATAAACTGGTGACTTTCCTTTTCTTTTTTAAAAGCAGAAGCCTGTTGTGTGCCTCTCAATTGAAGGGTTTCTGATTACATTATTCTTAAGACCAGCATTGATCCTTTATATACAAAGATCTGTTTTCCTTTTTATTATTATTATTATTATTATTATTCTTTTTATTATTATTACTGTTTCAGAAGAAAAGAAACCTTTTATTTTGCTCTGGACCCAGTAACTGCGCTGGTACATAGACGCACTGAGAAAACAAACTTTTGTAACCACCTCTGACGTTTTGTATATCAAAGTTGATTACTTTTGAAATGTTTGGATCTAGTTTCTAAGTTATTTTAGTGTTTTATATGTTCCCCGACATTACTTTGGATCAGTCACCAGCATAGTAAGTTCTTGGTGATGCAATGGTGAGACTTGTGAAGAGCAAACAGCTACCTGGAGTAGCCCTTCTTTCCCATCTTTCTTAGTGACCTGTTTTTTGATTACAGTAAGAAGACATCACAGATTACCCTAAACCTCTTTCAGTATAACTAGATCCTCCATCTTTCTACACTTAATTGCTTAATAGTTTGAAGAAACTATTGGAAACGGGCATTTTATATGATATGTATGGCTTTAAAATATTAAAAATGAGCAAAAAGCAAAAAAATAGGAGGTTTATGTGGGTCTGTAAGGTATGGCTGTGGAAAGATATTGTAGTAGTTTTGACACTATTGTTATTACCTTTAAAAACATTTACCCAATAAAATGTTAAACCAAGATACCCTTTGTTGTTTCTTTATTTAACTTGCTTTACCCAAGGAGGGGTTGCTATGAGTCGGGGCTGACTCGATGGCAAATAACAACAACAAGAAGCATACACTGTTGGTCTCATCATTACGTCTTACTAAAGGGATAGTAGTTGAAGACTTTGAAACAATATAATTAGGAACCGATAATGATTTATTTCCAAACTATAACCTGGGAAACGTTGCCTGCCTGCAGCTTACTCCCTACCACGTGATTTGCTGATGCCACCCTTCTGTCTAGCTCTGAATTCTGTCTTGGTGAGCTAGTGTAACCGTTAATGGACTATATACCCTGGCCACAGATCAGAGGCAAGCTTCAAACTTGAATTCAGGTAGGAGCTTAGCTGTGCTTGTTTGCTCCAAATTTCTTCCAAATCTGTCAGTAGATACTGGACATTTCCCCTTTGGAAGCTGGTGGGGGTCATTAGCTGTACTATCCAAGGAAACCACTGGATGAGGTAAGAAGCCTTTCTCCTGCCATCAAGACTTGGCCGTTTTCTGAGTACAGAACAGAATCAGAAAATGCCCAGAAGGTGGC